GATTCCTGCACCACCCAAACTTTAAGCAAACTCCCTGGCAGTCGCAGTGGCATTTCTATTCAGGCAGCAGTGGGGAAGTCATTTGACTTCATAGGCTCCATTATAACTGACCTGATTCCTTCTAAACTCTTCATTGCATGGGTGCCAAAGACACTCTCTCCTTTTCAAGGGCCTTGCTATTCCATGAATCAAGCCAACCTTTCTTCTGCAGTGCTTCTGTCTGTTACCTGCTCCTTGGATTGTACCTTCTATTTCACAGCCCTGCAGTCTGTTTCTAACTCATTCAAAACATTAACTCAGGTGTGGGAACATTTACTCAGATCAATGTTAACTCTGGTGTGGAAATGACTTTCAGGGAAGCATTGGAGGCACTATTAAGATATTCAAGAAGGCTTGGTCGTGTTTTATGAATCTGAGGAAGAGCTGTCCATTAAATTCTAATGACAGCAGGACTAATGAAACAATGAGTCAAGTCAGTCCTGAGGCCGCTACAACTCTTGGGGCACTTCAGATGCTGTAACAACCCTCCTCCACTCCAAAATTAATTGAGTTGCTTTGCATCATTGGTGATTCTTTGGGCAAAGTGACGTGGGAGTGCCCATCTCCTCTCCAGGTATGGATGGCCATTGGCTCACAGGGAATTAATCCACCCTTTGATAGGTCTTGTTTTTAGTCCTGCTAGGTGTCCACATGCCCTCCTCAACCTGGCTAGCCCAGGTGGGAGTGCCAGTTTTAGTCGCTGACAACCTGACCATGGAACAGGCTGTCCTGGTTTACATGGTACCAGATAGCAGACCAAGAGAGGCCTGGCCTGACGGCAATAAAACAACAGTTGTTGATTAATTTTGCCTAGTTTGTTGTGGGTTTTTTTAATGCATAATAAATGACATAGCAAATTTATGCACATTCCAATCAATTTATATTTGTTCTTGCTTCCATTTTTTATTGAATAATGTAGCTGTAGGACACTAACTTATTGATAAAGCTTCTGGTTTCTTTTTAACTCGATAAAATAAGTGTTGTTATATATTGTGACGCACTACACCAACTGCACCCCCCCCTTTCAAAATCCTATATACCCCCATGAAGATGAATGCCAGCTTCTTTCTGGGATAGCATATAGTGGGGATGGAGTCCAATGTTAACACTTTCACAGAAAGAGCTGTTGCCAACTTAAGAGTGGCTGTGAAAGGGTTAGTGGCAAACTGCTCTTTCTGCTTCCTGCCCGAGAGAAAAGCTAGTATTTGCTTTGCAGCACAGTATCTCCATGCTGCTGTTCTTCCAGTCAAGCAAATAAAATCAGCCTTCCCTCTTAAGACACGCTACCCAGATTTAGAGGGCTGATTTTGGGGGACAGCTGTGTGTGGTTTGTGAGGAAATATAGTATGTCACCGATCGGACTGAGCACACATTGTTGACCATACATGACCTCATCAGTTTGGGTGCCAGGTGACTCAGCTGGCTAATTAATGAACTTAGTTAAAACATTCCTACATGCCTTTCATTACTGTTGTATCTGGCTCATTTGTGCCATCCAATCGGCTTTCCTCATCTATTGTACGACATCAGTATTACTTATGTCCATCTCAAGATGTTCTTGAAGAGAGTCTAAGTCCTTTGGTGAGCTCTGTTGCCTTCCAGAGAACTATAGACCCATGGCATTTAATACCATCTGCTATAGCCTACATGTGGGACACCATGAGGCCAGTTTCACCCCAAAGAAGCCATGTGTTCCATGCATGCTAGCCTGTTGTCCATTGGTATCTGGGGGCAGTAATAGCACCAGTAGTGGGCACTTAGCTGGTCATGTGTCTGCTCCTTACTACAGGGTAAATTTACCAGGGGGCAGGGGGGCGAAGGTGGAGGAAGGAACCAGGGTAAGCTGCTATGAAGTGATTATGTTGGATGGCCACTCGCTTTGCTAGATATTCTGGCGGCATTTCCTGCTTCTCTGAAGGACCATGATTAAACAAAGCATGATGGAAAGGGTTGCCAGAGCAATGGTTAATGTGTTCCTGGCAGCCCAGGGCCACCATCCTGGCACTTTCACCATGTAATGGATGATGCCCCTGTTGTCATGATGGACATTGATCTCATTCTCTCCTTTCCCAGCCAGGAAGACCAACTCCATGCCAGCTGCACTGATCACCAGTCTGGCACTGGCCTGGACACTCACTGGCTCCTGTGGGAACTTCTCCAGTGCCACCTCAAAGCACCGGCTCAGTGGCTCTGTGGCTCCCTCCCAAGCCCGTATGCGGTTCTGCACCTTCAGTAGGTTCTCAATGCTCAGCCGCTCAGGGCGAGCCAGCAGCCGGGCCCGGTATGGGGTTGGCCCCTTCACGCTGTACTGGGGCTTCCCATTGGTGGCATAGACGTAGATCTCATGCTCTTCATCTCCAGCATTGAATTCTAGCACTGTTCCTTGGCACTGGACAACCAGCTTGGCATTGCCTTGGATGCCAGCTGCCTCCTCTATGAACTGCTGGAGGGCAAGGTCCATACAAGTGCTGAGCTCACCAGTCATTTTCCCTTGGCCCTCCAGCCTGGCACGTGCTCTCAACAGGTCAAGAACACTTAACGGCTCTGGCTCCTCGGCCTCATATTTCACTGCCCCTTTGGAGAAGAAAATGGCTGCAAGGCCTGCAGCTATCCCCACTAGCAACAGCAGTGACCTCTGATATGTCAGGCTCAGCATGAATCTCAGAAGGCTCTTGACCATGCTCTGAAGCATTCTGGGTAAAGAGAGCAACACCCAGCGAATGAAGCCACATGTCACGTTGCTTCCTCTGCGGGGGATCTCACATCTTGGTGCCATGGGCTCATCTGTGACTCCATTGTGGTTCTCATTTTGAGGACCTGAAGGCAACATGAGGTTAAAGGATGTCAGTTTGTGGGGCAGCTGGTGGAGCTCTGACCATCACAGAAGTCTGATGTTTGGGGCTTAAATGAAGACAAATCACCATCATAACTAGGCAGAACAATGGTGGTGGGAAAGCCCAGGGCTGGGCAGTGGAGGTGGCAGAGAGGGGCATCAGTAGAGCTGGGGAGCAGGGACCAAAGCTGGGAATAGAAGGAGGCTGCAGGTCAGGAGTGAGGGGCACCAGCAGGGATTTATATTGCAGGCAACTTAAGCCAGCTGCATTTGAAGTAGGACTTCTGAGAGGCCAGGAAGAAAGAGAAAGAGTGATAAAAATGGTGAGGGGCCTGGACTGGTGAGGAACAGCTGAAAAAATGAGGGTGACTGAATCTGGAGAAGAGAAGCTTGAGGAAGAATTTCATACCAGTCTTCAAATCCCTGAAAGGCAACAACACAGAGGATGGAGATGGATTTTCCTCTATGGCTGTATGGGACTGGGCTGGGAGCGATGGTCTCCAGCTGCAGCAGGAGATGCTGAGGTTGGATATGAGGAGGAGCTTTGTGACCATGAGGGTGGTCAAGCATTGGGACAGACTGCCCAGAGAGGCAGTGGAATATCCATCCCTGCGCATGTTCAAGAGCAGGTTGGACAGGCACTAAGCTGGCATGGTTTAGTCTGGGATGATCTTGCCTTGAGTGAGGGGGCTGGACTAGATGTGTCCTCATGAGGTCTCTTCCAGCCCAACTTTCCTATGTTATGAAAGCATGAGCATAGAAAGAAAGTGGAGAAAGGGAGAGACATCCATTTGGAGGAGGACAGGAGTTCAAGTCTGGGAATCATCAGTGTTGGGGACAGAGATGGGCCATCTCTCCCAGTGGTTGGAGAAAGCAATATGGCCAGCTGTAACCATTCATAAATCAGGAGTCAGTCTCTGATGATGAGACCATAAGCCTAGGTTCAGTTTTCACATCCTGGTCTCTGGGGTCACCTCACAGTCTAAATTCACCCAGAATTTAGTGTATTCTGCTACAGTCCACCTAGAACCCACTTCTCAGTGACCCATGGGCCTAATCACGTCCTTTTCTCCCTCCAGCTTGAGCAGCAATGGAAGCAATGACATTTGCCTACCAGAAGTGCCCCACCCTGCTCCTTTCCCTTCCCCTCATCTCTTTCTGCCCCACTTCACAACACTGGAAGAGCAGAAATGACTTGACTAGTTTTCATCATCTTTCCTTCCCAGGGCAGCTGCTATAAAGGGCATTTCAGGATATGGAAAGGTGTGACCCTCTTGAAACAGCCCACATGGGGGTTGAACTCAAATGGGAAGGGGACAGAAAGGAAACAAGAAATGCTACCCACCTCCCTTGTTTCTGAAGCGTCCAGGGGGACTTGTCTTGATTTGCTCACTCTGCATCACAATATCCTGCACTTTTGCTTTCTTCCCAAAAGGTCACAGACGTTTGACTTTATTTTTAGTGTGGATGGTCACAGGTGCCCGGAGTTCTTTCAGCTAAATGGGCTCAGAGCCCAGCTTATAGCTCTTGTGCAGAGGGAGGGGAGGGTTGACTCTCTACTGTCTGTAGCCTCATGATAAAAACATACATGCAGACAACCAGTGAAGTGGATGGCCCAGAGTTTGCCCATCCAGGGGCCATGTGCCTATATCCATACATGTGTTGAACTGACAACTTTTACAACTCCCCTTGGTGGATATAACTGGGTGTGAATGCCTGTGGGAATTGTTCCTCCTCCAGAAGTGTTCCAGCACAAGCTGAATCAGGAAGTACATGGACTTTCAGGAATCAGGTTTTATAGTAGGTAACTATGGGTGGGTCTACAATATTGAGAAGGCAGGTGCATATGGTGTGGCTTATCACATAGAAATCAATAAAACAGACATGTATAAATATGTAGAGAGAGACATCTATATAGAGAGATCTAGATCTCTCTCTCGATGGATGGATGGAGTGATGGAAGGATGTGGGTGGGTGGGTAGATGGATGGATGGGTAGATCTTGGATTTTGAAAAAGGAAGTACAGGTGGTGTGGTGAATCATCACATATACCACAACACACATTTTTTCTCCAGTAAAAAGCAACTAGACGCTTTACAAATAAGTGAGGGGCCTAGGGCTGTATTATTCAATTTAAGATGGGAGCAAAAACAATTATAAACTGATTGGAATGTGTAGTAATTTGCTATATGGTATATTATGGATAAAAGTACAACAAATGAGACAAAAATAATCAAATTTGTTGCTTCATTAGTCTTGCTGTTGTTAGAATTCAATGGACAGCTCCTTTTTATTTATTTTTTCCAGATTCACAAAACAAAATCCAGCTTTCTTGGCTATCTTGACAGTGCATTCAGTGCTTCACTGAATGGTATTTCCACACCTGAATTTATGTTCACCCGAGTTAACATTTCCGCACCTGAGTCAGTGTTCTTTGAGAGCGTAGAGAACAGTCCTCAGGGCTATGAAATAGGAATTTCATTAACCAGGAGCTGCTAACTGACAGCAGCATTGCAGAAGAAAGGGTAGCTTGATGACACTGCTCCCAAACCACCAAATTTCCAGACCTCCTCATCAGATCACATCTGCATATGTATTTGGGGCCAAAGGAATTTCACCCCATGGCCAGAATGGTATGAACTGTGAGGGTGAGGGGGGGGTTGCCTTCCTCTGTAGTGGGGGGCACAGCTTCTCCCTGGGTTCTCTTGAGTGTATAGTAACAACCTTTTACAGAAGCAGGGCATTGGCTTCTATGGTCTCCCTTCTTTTCATGTGGCAGGTTTGGGTGTGATGCCTTTGTTGTGTCAGGGTTGACTGTAATTTTGCTAAGAGGTTAGGTGATGGCTTTGTACAGGATTGTTTGGACAGGGCTGATCCTGCCTCAGGCAGGGGGTTGGACTACATTACCTCTGGAGGTCCCTTCCAGCCTGACTTCTCTATGGTTTCAACAACTAGTGACAGCCTAATGACTTATACATTTTTCATCATAGAAGCATGGAAAACTAAGGTTGGAAGGGACCTCAAGAGGTCATTTAGTCCAACCCCCTGCTCAAAGCAGGACAATCCCCAACTAGATCATCCCAGTCAAAGATCTGCCTACCTAGGGTGTCAAAACTTCCAATGATGGAGATTTTACCACCTCTCTGGGTAACCTGTTTCAGTGCTTTACTACCCCCCTCATGAGAGAGTTTTTTCTAATAGAGTTTCTCTGAACTGCTTAGATGTAGAAGGCACCGTTGATATTAATATACTTGGATTTTAAGAAGGCCTTCAATATGGTCTTCCATGATGCTGTTATAAAGAAAAAAACTGTGGGACTGTGGGCTGGCAGAGTCCATGGTCGGGTGTGTTAGGAACTGGATAAGGGGTCGAACCCAGAGAGTATTAGTGCACAGGTCTGTATTGTCTTGGTGGGAGGTGGCCAATGGTGTGTCCCACTGGGTTCAGTTCTCAGCCCTGTGTTGTTCAGCAACTTTATCGATGATTTAGATGAGGTTGTGGAAAGCATGCTGGTCAAGTTTGTGGACATTACTAAATTATGGGGAAAAGGATGCATGGTCATGCTAGGGAATAGGATGCAGATCCAAGAGGTACTGGGAAGGTGGGGAGGGTGGAATAAGATGCCATTCAATAAGGATAAATGCAGAGTACTTCATCTGGGGAGAAGTAACCGGGGACATAAATATAGGTTAGAAGATGTCCTGGCCAGCACAATGTCTGAAAGGGACCTCGAGGTTATGGTTGATCACAGGATAAACATGAACCGCCAGTGTGACTCTGTAGTCAATAGAGCTAGTAGCATGCTGGGGTGCATTAGCCAATGTGTCACAAACAGGGCTAAGAAAGTGATACCTCCTCTTTACTCAACGCTGGTGAGACCCCAGCTGGAGGACTGTGCCCAGTTCTGGGCACTGCCCTTCAAAAAAGACGTGGAGAATCTTGGAAGGGTGCAGAGAAGGACCACAGGAATGATTAAGGGCCTGGAGGACAAACTTTATGACGAAAGACAAAGGGATCTGGTACTGTTCAGCCTGGGAAACAGAAGACTGACGGGGGGGACTTGGTGACCATCTGTAAGGATGTAAGGGGTGAACATTGGGAGCTGGGAGAAAAACTGTTTTCTCGGGTGCCCCAGGGGAGGACAAGGTGCGATGGCCATAAACTGTTAGGGAATGGTTTCAGGTTGGATGCAAGGAAGAACTTTATGGTAAGGGTGATGTGAAGGAGCAAACGTGGCGACAGCGAAAGGACCCGGAGAATGCTGCTTCTGGAGCCAATACTATATAAGGCTAGAAGCTCCGGGATCAGAGCATGGTGGCGGCAGTGAAAAGGGAGCCTCAACAAGAGAAAAGGAGAGAAAAGAGAGAGGAAAGAAGATCCCAGGGGATCAGTAACTTACCTGAGGATCTCTCATGGCATCGGTGGGAGGAATGGAGCTCTGGGAGCGAGGGGCAGATCTGGGAGTAGATAAACACCGCGGGACGTGTATTGCACTGCCAACCTGGAAAGAAAGCAAAGGAAAAGAAAAGAGTGAAAGTGACCCATAATTATTCAGTGGTGGAGACAGTGCCCATCGAAAGGACCCGAGGCATCAGACGCACGCAAAAAAAAAAAAAAAAAAAAAGGAAAAGACTTATCAAAAAAAAAAAAAGAAAGGAATAGACTTATCAGCCAACGAAGTAAAGAGAGAGTATATAGTGAGGTTTGAAGATAAAAGCCCATGAAAAGGATAGAAACACAAAATGGACAATAAGAAAGAGACTTTGTTTATTAATACTAGGTTCCAATCAGTCAATTGATAGTAATAGCATAAGAATGGTATATAAATAGAATCACCAAGTTGATATAAAGAACTAAATAACTAAATACAAGTTTTGATCTGAATTAGACTACGATTATCTATACTGTCAAGTGCATGTGAATATACAGAGGAGTGAGCGATACTACCCATGAAACCCTAATAGAGACCAAACCCCCCCCCAAAAAACAAACAAAAAAAACCCCTTTCTTTTTAAGCAACCCTCCCGACTAGTCTCATCAAAAAATCAAGCATAGAATAATAACGTCCAAGACATGGCAGGCAGGAAAGTTGGGGTACCGACGGGTCTTGGGTGCCTATAGGGAGTGGCAAAAGGAGACATCCTAAGCGCAACCACCACAGGTGACCAGAATCTGGAAGAGACTTCCCAGGGAGGCGGTGCAGTCCCCAACCTTGGAGGTCTTCAAGAGGAGACTGGGCAGACACCTTGCTGGGATCATTTGGTCGCAGCTGTATTCCTTCCCACAGGAGTGTGTGTGTGTGTTGGGGGGGTTTGGACTCAATGATCTTTCAAGGTCCCTTCCAGCCCTTAATTTCTATGGTTCTATGAATATCTAACCTCAACTTCCCTTGCTATAACTTGATCCCATTGCTTCTTGTTCTGTCACCTGCCGCCACTGAGAACAGAATAGCTCCATCCTCTTTAAAACCACCCTTTGAGGAGTTGAAGGCTGTTATTGAATCCACCCTCTTGAGGTCTTAGAATCAGAAAATTTGAGTTGGAAGGGACCTCTGGAGCTCGTCTATTCCAACTTCTCACTCCAGATCAGGACCATTCCCAACTATATTATCTCTTCTTCAGACTCAGTAAGCCCAGTTCCCTCAGCCTTTCCTTAGAACTCATGTTCCCCAAACCTCTAACCATTTTTGTTGCCCTCCACTGGACTGTCTCCAGTTTTTCCACATTATTTCTGTAATGGGGGGCCCAAAACTGGGCACAGGAATCCAGATGTGACGTCATTAGTGTCAAATAGAGGGGAATAATCACTTCCCTTGGTCGGCTGGCAATGCTCCTACTGATGCAGACCAGTATGCCGTTGGCCTTCTTTGCAACAAAGGTAAGTGCACATTGTTGGCTCATATTCAATTTACTGTCCACTGTAACCCCCAGGTCCTCTTCTTCAGAGCTGCTGCTTAGCCAGTTGGTCCCAAGCCTGTACTAGTGCATGGGTTTTTTCCATCCTAAATGCAGTGCTTTTTTATTATTTTTATTAACAATTTTTATTATCAATACAATATTTCCATCTGTCTATATCAACAGTGATTGGTTCATGAGACCTGTTGTAAAGAACCATTTCTGTGCAGAGAATACAGGTTTCCCTCACTTTATGCTGTACACGCGTTCCTGGAAAACGGCGCATAACTCGAATTCACGTAAAGTGAACCCACTTTACAGTGTAACAAATAGGGATACAGTCCACAACCTCAACTGTACTGACCCCTAAAACCGTTTCTACCACTTTTACAGGACAATTTTGGTGCTCACCAACAGCAGACAGTACACACAAGTGCAGGATGGTTGTGAAAGTTGCCAGAATGGGACAACAACAACTACAGAAACGTGTGTTGCAGACAACAAGCAAGGAGCACAGATCCACACAGGAAACTATCTTTGGTGCGCACCAGTCCCACAATGCACCGCATAAAGCAGCTGA